GGAATAAGCACCCCTGCCCAAGTTCATGCCAACACAGCCCCAAGCATCCTCACACACAGGCGGGAGCGAGACACACACGGAGCACATCCAACAGAGGAAGGGAGGGGATTTTTAAACCACAGCTCACGATCCCAGGGACACAATCCTGAGCAGGCAGCGGGAGGGGTGGAGGAGCCGGGGAGAGGAGCGCAGGCCGGGAGGGGGAGGCAGCGGCAGCGAGCTGGAGGGGGGGGATGTTGGGGGAGGAAAGCAGCCAGGATTGGGAAGCCCGGACCGGCTGGGACCACAGGAGCCCCATCCCCACAGCCACAACCACCCGGGCGAGGGAGAAAGAAAGAGCAGGGAGGCGGGCGAAGCGCGGGGAGAGAAGCAGAGAAGAAATATTCACCTTCCCGCCTCATGCCCACTTTGAGGCACTTCTTGAGGCGGCAGTATTGGCACTGGTTGCGGTGGTGCTGGTCGATGGGACAGTTCCTGTTGGCACGGCATGTGTAAGTTAAGTTCCTGCGGACGCTCCTCTTGAAGAAACTTTTGCAGCCCTCGCAGGTGAATTGGCCGTAGTGCTTGCCGCTCGACTTGTCCCCGCACACCACGCACTCGATGTGTTGCTGGCTCTGGCCCGAACCGGGCGGGCCCTGGCCCTTGTCCCCCGCCGTGCCGGGGGTGGCGGGCGCTCCGGGCTGGCCCGGGGTCTGCGGCGTGTGCGGCGCGCCGGAGCCCGCCTGCTGCTGCTCGCCGCCGCCGCCGCCGCGGGCTGCCTGCGCTGCGGGGTTGGGGCCGCCGGGGTTGCCCCCGGCCACGTCGTCCTGCGGATCTCGCCAGCTGCTAACTACCATTGCCATATCTTTGGGCCCGGGGAGCGCTGGGGGGAGCCGAGCTGCTCGCCGAGGGCCGCGGGGCGCGCGGGAGCGCTGGGAGGGGAAGGGGAAGGGGAAGGGGGGAGGGGGAGGGGGCGGGGGGCCCACCGGGCGCCCCGGGGTCGCCGGAGCCGAGCCCGAGCCGGGCACCGGCCTCTGCCTGTGCCGCCGCCGCTGCCGCCGCCGTTACTGCCTCGGCCGCCCCGCTGCTGCTGCGCGCCCGCCCGCCCTGCTGGCGTTTTGTTGTGGTTCCTGCTGTTTTCTTTCTCTCTTTTTGCAGCCCCCCCAGGCTCTCAGGCTCCCCCCCCCCAACACCCCTGCTCCCCTCGCCCGCTCCCCCCGCGCTCCGTTCCTGGGGGGGCCGCGCTCTCTCTCCCCCCTCCCCACCCCCCGGCGAGCGAGCTCCCTTCTCTCGCTTTTTTCTTCTTCCCCAAGTTGCAAAATCAGAAATGGCACAGGCGGCAGCCGGGAGCGGCGCGGGGCGCAGCGCCGGGGGCGGCGGGCATGGGCCACGGCGCGCGCACACACTCGCCCTCCGCCTCGCCCGCACCCCCGCGCACACACACACTCTCACACACACTCGCTCACCCGCGCCGGGCGCCCGCCCGCCCGCCGGCCGCTCGGGCTACGCGCAGCGCGCGGGCTGAGCCGACATAGAGGAAGCGGCGAGGGCGGCGGCGGCGGCGGCTGCAGAGGAGGAGGTCGCGGCTGCAAGCGCCGCTGGAGGAGCCGCCTCGGCTGCTGCTGCGATCGCCGCTGGAGGAGCTGGGGCCCGGGCCGGAGTCCTAGCTGGAGTAGGGGCCGCTGCCCGAGTGCGAGCCGAGGCTGGGCTGCCCGCACCGCCGCCGCTGTCCCGGCGGGAGCCCTCGCCCGGCTTCAAGAGTGCGGGGAGCTGGGAGAGCCGAGCAGGATGCGGGGCGAAGATGCAGGCGACGATCAGGGAGCTCGGGTGTCGGGGGGCCAGGTCCAGGGCCGGACGCAGCCAGCCATTCAGGAAGGCAGCGCTGGAGAGCGGGAGGCAGCCGGCAAGGAAGATCACACACTTTGCTCTTTTTGTTGTGCGGGTGGCGCCGGGTTCTCTCTGCCTTCTTCTTTCGGGAGGAGACGGAAGGGGGAGAAAAATACGAGATAATTCACGCCGGCGACGAATTCACAGCGAAATAGGAAAAAAATAAAAATCAGAAGAAAATATTTGAGAAAAAAACGAAAGAAAGAAAGCGAGAGAGACATCCAAAGTAGGTCGAATAAATAATCCTCTTCTTTTCCTCTTTCTTGCTTCTTCTGCTTCTTCTGCTATAACACACAGAGCTAGTTAAAAAAACCCTGGAGATCGCCCAAAAATGTTCTTTTTTTAGTATTTTAAATAAGTGCTCTTCAGCCGGGAACCAACACCCTCCCTCCAAAAAAAATCATATATGTATAAAATAACGATAAGAAGAATACGCAGGGGGTGCCTCCTCCTTTTTTTTTTTTTTCAAGTTTAGTCTCTCTTTTGCAGGCAAGGAGTGAAAGAGAGAAGGAGGAGGGAGAGAAAGAGAAAGGGGGACAACTAGTAGACTATGTAAGAAAAAGAAAGGGGAGAGACAGAGCAAGAGGAGAGTGGGTGAGAGAGGAGAGAGAGAGAGAGAGAGGAGGGAGAGAGGGGCCAAAGAGAGGAGAGAGGAGAGGAGAGGAGAGGAGAGGAGAGGAGAGGAGAGGAGAGGAGAGGAGAGGAGAGGAGAGGAGAGGAGGAGAGGAACCAAAAAATTGAAGGCGTTTAAACGGGAGGACACTCAGAGCAATGTTTCCGAAAGGGGGATCTGCGCGAATGTCTGTATATAGTGAACTTTGACACTACTATTGAAACTGACACGTTTCTATGGAGATCGCTGCCTTATATGGAGCTCGTGTCAAGGAGCCAAGAGAAGGGCTGCTGGCAACTGATAATCAAAGGCGACTGACTGGTCAGAGCCCTGAATGGGGGGGGGGGGGAGAGAAAATGGGAGGCTAAGGTTAGCCAAGCCTCCTGCACGCCATTGGTTGGAAATCCCTTACCCCTCCCCCCTTAGCTACCTACAGTAAGGGGTATCGAGGGGAGGAGGAGAGAAAGTGAGGGAGGGGGGTGTGCTTCTGACAAGCACAATTTACATTGAGATCGCCCTGCGCTGCTATTTACTCTGAGACCTGATTAGTATGGGTCGTGTATGGTCACACACACACACACACACACACACACACACACACCAGAGGGGGAAGGGATGATGGGGGAGAGAATGCGTTGCGATGGGAAAAAAATTAGAATGAGAAAGAAATTATTTTATATCTTCTGAAAACTTTTTAAAATAAGATTTTATGAGCGTCACTGAAAACGTTAGAAAAATTAATGAGAATGAAACCACCATTTTAATGATTTGTGAAATATAATGGGTCTAGAGTCTTCGTTCACATTCAACATAATCCTAGTTTGGATCCTGCTAATTTGATATTATTAAAAAGTCTCCTCATTTAAAAAATTTGAAGTATATCATAGTTTTGGAGGCGTAATTACTACAAAGCTCTCTCAAAACTGCAGTTACTGTCACAAATTCGATCCGAATCGATGGTTCCTATTCATCCCAAATGTGATCTTAAAATAAACTTTCCAATCAATCCTGTTTTTTCTTCTTCATCATTTTTATCCCCAGGACGCTCCAACTCTAAATAGTGTTTCAATAATTATTAATAAAGCATTAGTTAGTCCTCATATTGTCGCGGGGCGGCTGTTAGTGCTGACAACTCAGACTCACAGGAAAAGAGCAAAGGAACAGAAGACGGGGAAGAGAGAGAGGGGTCGGAGAGGGGGGGGACAAGAAAGGGAAAGAAGAGAAGGAGGAGGAGGAAGAGGAGGAGGAGGAGGAGGAGAAAGAGGAAGGAATCAGAGTTGTGTGTGTGTGTGTGTGTGTGCGTGTGTGGTGTATGTTTGGGGGGGGAGGGCTGTTGAGACCCCATTTCCAAAGGTGATTGGTTGCAGAAGGAGGGGCAGGCGGGAGGAGCGGGTCCCGCCGTGGGACTTGCAGGAATCGCTAGGTCCGGCTGCCACCTAGCGGACGGGAGCTGGCTCCCACGCGGCAAGCAACCGAGTCCCTCCTCCCCTCCCTACAGGCAGCCAGTGTCTTTTCTCCAAAGGAAGACAGCACTTTGAAATTCTTTCAATGGATTTTTTTTTCCTTGAAAGATCGTACTGGGGGAAAACGAAAACGATACTTCTATTAGTTACATAGTCTCCAATCCCACACTAGCACCCCCCAGGTTTTAAGATCGCTCTCCTAGGCAGGCTCAGGCGGGCGCAGAACAGCGGTGACAAAGCCGCGGCTGCCACCGCCCGGAGTGGGAGTCCCTCTTGCCATCCCACCCCTTGACTCGTGAGAGCGTAAAAGTTTGTCTCTGCTCAAGCGTTCCGAGCGCCCCCAGGTAAAGGTGGAAGTAATGGCCAAGCTGTATTGAAGAGGTAGGGTTTCGTTTTTAATATTGGATCCCATTTTAAATCTCACTATGTGTGTGTGTGGGGGGGGAGGTGGAAGGCGCTGCGTGTTTGCGGTACGCTTTACGGGGATCGTGGTTTCTGGAATCTACCGTTTAGTGGCCATTTTTTCAAAGAGCAGAATAAAGACTTTCTTACGTGTGCCCCACAGCTCTTCTATCTCTAATAATGGAGACCGCACTCTGTGCTGCGGCCCATTGTATGCAGCTGATGGAGAGGCGGACAGGGGGTGACAGGGGCTCCTGGCCTTAGCCCCTCAGCCCTAATATTCATGTTCAAGTCTCCCGGTTAATTAAAAGGCGAAATTGATATGATTAAAAATACCCCCCCCCAAGATAAAAAAGAAGAAGAAAGGAAGAGGGAGAAAGAGTAGAGAGCGATGTTTATATAAAAATTCTAAAATTTACTCCCCAAATAATCAGAGACGGAGTCATGAGCAGCTGAACGGAGCAGAGAAAGGGAGTCTGTGTGTGTGTGTGTGTGGGGGGGGTGAGAATCGCAAAAGAGTGGGAGAGGAAGCAAAAAGCAAGCGTCTGGGAACTGGAGGCCTGCTGGATGCCGGGTCCCCTAGTCCAGCCGTCCTAGGACTCTGAACTGTACACTGTGGGCACCGGAAGCGAGACTCGGCACCTACCCAGGCGAGTAACGCAACGATAATCGTTTCTTTGGAACTTGGGGGTCTGTAACTTTCAATAGTGTGGTTGGGTCGAAAGGCAATCTTCACTCGACCTCCGCAGCCTAGAAACGCAGTCAAGGCGGCCGAGGTGGCACCGGGAGAACTTTTGCTTGGGCCTGCTCGGAAGCTGCTCTCGTCCTTCCTTTCCGCTGCACTTCCTTGGAGGTGAGGATCCCTACCAAATCCAAATTCAAAGCAGGTCCCCCTACTAGCCTCTCCCACCGGGGGTGGGAAGGGCTGCGTGGGCAGGGGACCCGAGACTGCGTCTAGTTTCGAACCCGCGTGGCCAGCCTGCAGCGTGCGAGGCGGGAGCTGCGGTGGAGCCGGCTGGCCCGGGCACCTGTGCTAGCCGCGCTTAGCCTCCCGCCCACGGTCGGCGCGAGTAAAGTAAAGCAATCGATGGCTGCCCGTTTGATGTGGGCGATTGTGTCAGCGGATTAAAGGGGACATCAGCGGTTCTCCCAAGCAGAGAACCCGCGGCGGCCGCAGGAGAGCAGCGAGGTTGTAAAGCTAGACTCCGCACGCTGGGCCAGGCGGCTTGGGGGCGGGGAGGGGCTCGCCTCCCAGGAGTGAGGACCGAGGTTGAGTGTGTGAAAGGAAGAGCTTCAATTAAAACCAACAGGAGCGCTCCCTCTACCCCCACCTTCGCCCGGCAGGGGCGCGCATTTGCGTCAGAGGGCGCGCAGGGCGGGCTCGCCGGGCGGGGGTGGGGGTGGGGAGCTGACATTCGGTACCGCGTCCCGGGGCTGGGGGCTGGGTGGGCTCTTGAATGAATCAGCCCTGCTTAGAAGGGCTAGTGTGTGTGTGTGTGGGAGGGGGGTCAAGTCCTGCAACAAAGCTCAAGGACTAGCAGAGACTCACTAGGAGAGACGTCGCCCACCGATCCTTACTGTGGGCCTTTTCTTCCTGCGTTCCCTCTCTGCCCCAAGCTTCCAAATTCGCCAAAAGGCCTCGGGGACCCAGAGTGATCCCCCCTTCCCCCTCAAGAATGAAGGAAATCGGCCCCTTCAGGCCTTAGGTGAAGCTACCAGCTCCTCTTGAATGAGGTCGCAATTCTCAGCCTTAGCTCTAGGAGTAGGCACCGGAGGCTGTTTGTTGGTGCCCATAGGAGGCAAGTCTCAAGCTTTTGGAAAGGGGGGAATGCTTGCATTCTTTTGAGTCAAGTGTACCCAGTCTCTTGAGAGGAGTTAGCAACAAGCAGAGACATTTTGAGGAGGGCCTTGACCACCCTTGGGACTCAGTATAGTCCAGCAGCACGTAGGACTCACCGTCTCCAGTGTCTGTGTTCTTCGGATTAGTCACACATCCTCCAAGCCCCACTTGTGCTCAGCTCACAGTACTGCCTCCACTAAAATGGCTTCCGTAGAGGCGCTGCTGGTCAGCCCAGGGTTTGGGAACTTTTGGCCTTGTTTCTTAAAGCCACCGAGGTTTGACAACAGCCTAACTTGCCACGGTCGTCCCTGGTCCTAGTATCTGTGGTTGGATAGGGCACCTCAGAAAAATGCTCATAGTTTTTCAAGGGCACCAGAGTCCTCAAACTGTGAAATCACACACACATCCCCAGGCACGCTCAAATGCTGAAATGCTAGAATAGAAAGAGCAGTTGCGATTTCCATCCCTTCCCTCCCATTCTGTTTTCAGCTTTCTTCCTCCTTCACCCACACTGTCAGCCCCACGCCAGCCAGCTCCCTGGAAAAGTTAAATTGAGTTTGAAAGTGATTGCTGGACAGGCACCCTGTTGTGAACTTTTCCTCAGCACCCTAATAGGGTCTTGCTAATGTGGGGTAGAGGGCAGGGACATGGTGCTTAGCTTTCCCCAGGGTCACTCCCTCTGCTTAGACAAGTCTGGGGATTCTAGGGGCCTTGCAGGGAGGCCTCTGGAAGGCCTCATCCAGAGGGTTCTTTTCGTAGCTTTCTTCTGCTCTCCTAGAGACTATGGAGAACTGTCCAACAAACAGGGGCTCCAGTGCAGTTCACCTAGATTAAATGAGAAGGTGCCCTCTGCTTGGGCAGGGAATTAAGCTGTGAATTTACTCCATTCCTTATGCTCTTCTAGCATGATGGTTGGGTCTTAGTCGGTTTGCCTTGATTTCCCAGCCAGCTTTCTGGTGAGTGACAGGTAGAGGGGGAGGGATGCCGAGTCTGTGGCTACCCACACAGTAGGAACTGGTGTTCCAAGCCCAAGTTCCTGAGTCCAAGTGGCCTCTTTACCCCATTTACATAACTTCCATAGCTTTTTTACCAGGTAGGTAAATAGGCCAACCTATTCTTCTCTAATCCTTTGGCTCCTTTCACACTGTCAGTTTGTTCTCTAGAAAAACACAGATCACACACATTTTAGGTTTCTGTTAAGTTACACTGAAAAAGAGAGCTTTGTAGAGACATTTCATAAATCTAGCCCAAGAGCCAATGAGACTGTCCAATGGCACATGTGTATAGAAACTTCTCCTGTCCACCACGTTCGTACCCTTAAGTCGTTTAAACAGTATTATTCTGTCTTGAGAAACCACAGGACAGAAGCAACCCTTTTACCAAGCTCATATGGAGTGATGAACATGCTTGCAAACCCTTCGAGAGAGGTCAGTGCTTCTGATCCTGATGTAGGCCTTTCCCAAAGAGCTTGTTTTAAAGTTTCCAAATCAAGCTGTCTCCCTTGGCATGAGGCTAAAGTCAGGGAGAACACAGTTGAAGAGACATGATATAAACATGACAGTGAACAGATCTTTTGGAGGGAAACAATGGGGAGAGGTACAGGAATGCCCAACCAATGTTTTAGGATCACTAAAGCTAAAATAATACGTAAATAAATTATGTTTCAGCTAGATCAGAAATCTACCCTCCCATTCCCAAGACTGACAGTAGTCTGCATTATAGCTGCCTATTGTAAAAAAAGTTATGCCTCTGTCAACATGAAGGCCAGGGTGACAAATCCAGGCTAGGATTTGGGCTTCAGCTGACCTGAGGAAATGGATCTAGTAGCCCATAGGGTTCAATGAGCCTTGGAAATACTAGGCTTCCATTTCCATTGTCACTCTGGTAGTCCAGGCATTTCTTCTTAGTCATCTTTGAGGGGAAAAAAAAAGGCTCAGAAATAAGTACTTTACCTTAGTAAGTTGTTTAGTGTTCTATCTCAAACCAAGACATTTATAAAACATATTTTGGGAAAGATGAGAGAGACATCCCAGTGTGCAGGGAGTTTCAGTTAGAGAGCCCAGGATTAAGAATTTTTGGGGTGGGGACAGCAAGAGGGTAAAGCAAGAGCTGACATTTAGATGCAAACCAAGATGAAAATAGACAGTTATTTCCAGAACACTGGTGAAGTCAGAGTCAAATATTTACCTTTTATAAGATCCAAGTATAGCCTAAGAAATACTGCAAGAAAGAAAGGAAGGAAGAAAGAAAGGTTGTCTTTTAATGTTACAATACACATTCTTTTATTTTTAAATGCATGACTTGGCTGAAGAATAACTGCATGGCTAGTCTTTCCAGAGAAAATGGGTTGGTTTCAGTGAAAAGATGAAGTTTTGAAATGAGTTTGAAGGTTGTTAGACTATCCTGACAATACAATCAACTGTACTATATAATCATTTCCCTTAATAGTTACCTGTCAGAGCACCCCTTTCTCTCACTACAGGATTAGCTCATCAGAGGTAGAGCTGAGTTGGACATTTCACTAACTAAAGACGGCTTGAATATGTTTAAATCTCTAATTCCATTTTCTTCACTGACTATAATATAAACTAGTGATGGAGGAAAAGCCTAGCAAATCTAGTAACTGCATTCTTATTACAATTGTGTTTACCTACCAGAAAACTGATCAAAATAGGAAACCTAATAATTTCTTCCAAACTGTCAGTAGAAAGACATGTTTATTACAGTGGCCTCCATGTTTGAGGGGGTAAAGTTTAAATAAAAAAGAATGAATACAGTACATCTCTGATACAAACCATACAGAACAGTAAATAATTATGTTCTATGTGAGGATATGTATATTTTATTTTCCCATGTCAGAGGTAGAAAAATCCATGTAGCTCATCCACAGGAGGAGTTAATGAAGTATTCCAAATGCATGACCTAACAAAACTCAGGGTAGTTCTATGTTTTATTGTTAACCCCTTGCACAAAATCTTCTGAAGCTGAAAGGAGAAAGTAAAGGGCTTTTGTGTTAGTTGATCCTAGTCTATTCTAGGGCTCAGGTTGGTGTGAAAGGGATGAGGAGGTCACTTGAAATCTCCTTTTATCTACTCTTATTTTCTCTCTGGATCAGCAACTTTGAATAGACATCATCTAATCGCTCTTAATGGAAAGAAACTATGGGAGCAACAAAAATGCCTTTGCTCCAGAAAGGAATACATGCTTGCAGACAGCTAGCTGAGCTGGCATAGGGCTGCATCTCTGCACACATGAGCTTAGGGTGTTGGGGGGTTCATGGATGTGTGTATATATCTCATACACTGCAGGGGCTGGTGGATTCTGTTGCTCTTTGTGTACATTTTAATTTTCTATCACATCGGGTGATACTTTTAGCTGACTCTCCCTTAAGTTTGTTCTTGTCCAGTTTCTGGCCACATTTAAGCATTATACAAACACAAATAAGAACTCAATTGTTAGTCTGTTAGAAAAGACATCTTATTTCCCTTTTGTTTTCCACCAGAAGTTACCTGATAGAAGGGTCTCTACTCAGAGGGTGGAGACGATATGACAGGTGGGACAGACTGGTAGCAAGCCTTTCACTTTCAATTTCTCTTGCTTCAAATTCAACTAGGCAAAACACAATAAATAAGTGGAAAATAAAAGCTGAACATAAAGTTTATTAAACAGCTTCTTTCTTTATATTTATGTCTTCAACTCCTTGAAGCTGATGATTGATCATAAATTATTTTAAAATTAGAATTATTTAGTAAGACTCAGGCTGAGTAAAACAGAACTGAATGCGTCTTCCTTTGGGTTTGCTACATTTACTTTAAAAAGAAATAACGAATAGCTATCTAGAAAAGGACATGTGATTTCTAGGACTGAAAGCAACCACAACTGGGCTTTCCCTCCCTAGGAAGCACCCCCCTCCATGTTCTTCTAAGCAGAATTCTAAGCCTGGGACACTGCTATAAATTCCTCTAGGGAAATACTCCGTTACCAGGGCTACGGAGTTCTCATGTCAAACTGCC